TCAGGGAGGCCCCTGCCCCACGGCAAGCGGGGCACAACACCACCACCAGCTCTCGGCGCCTCTGAGGGGAAGCGAAGGAGACGGGGGCGAGGGAGGGCGCCGTATGGGTCTGAACTACTGCAACAATGACATGGTTTTTAACCTATGCCCGTTACGGTGACTGGATTTTAAATGTCCTTTCTCCCCCCTCCTCTGGCAATGGGCCTAATTCTCCATCCCTGGAGCAATGCAGATGCGAAAGTGTTACCATGCCAATTCCCTCCTCAGCTCCTCTTGCAGGCGTCAGGAGGGGCTTTCATACTTGAAGACTTGTCTTTGTTCTTTTTTTTTTTTTTAACTGTTATATTTCCCCCCACTGTTTCATTGATCTAATAAAAGGTATCAGCTCTTCTTACAGACTACCTCGCTGCCATTCTGGTTTGGTATCATTTCAGTACCCCTTGACACTCAGTTTGTTCAAGCCTGTGGGACTGTGGAAAGTGCAGATGGATACCTCAAAGACCAGAAGGTTGTGTGCAACCCTCTGCACTCTTGCAGCTTCTGCAGGCAGTGATCTAAGTCCCTCCGCTGCACCAGCCCTGCAAACATATTGTCTAGAATCATCACAGAACGGTTTGGGTTGGAGGGGATCTTCAAAAATCATCGAGTCCAACTCCTCTGCCATGGGCAGGGACATCCTTCACTAGACCAAGTTGCTGAAAGCCCCATCCAACCTTACCTTGAACACTTCCAGGTATGGGGCATCCACAGCGTCTCTGGACATTCTATTCCAGTGTCTCATCACCCTAGTAAAAGAATTTCCTTCTTAAGTCCAATTTAAACCTACCCTCTTTCAGTTTAAAACTGTTGCCCCTTGTCCTATCACTACAGGCCTTGGGAAAAAGTCTTTCTTATAAGCTTCCTTTATACGTGGAAAGGCCACAATAAGGTCTCCCTGCAGCCTTCTCTTCTCCAGGCTGAACAACCCCAACTCTCTCAGCCTGTCCTCGTAGGAGAGGTGCTCCAGCCCTTGGATCATTTTTGTGGCCTCCTCTGGACCCGCTCCAGCAGGTCCATGTCTTCCCTGTGCTGAGGGCCCCAGAGCTGGACGCAGTACTCCAGGTGAGGTCTCACCAGAGCAGAGTAGAGGGGCAGAATCACCTCCCTCGACCTGCTGGCCACGCTTCTTTTGATGCAGCCCAGATTCAATGGCCTTGCTGGGCTGCAAGTGCATACTCCGGGCTCATGCCCAATTTTTCATCCTCCAGTATCCTTAAGTCCTTCTCTGCAGGGCTGAACCCAGTTTCATATATGTATATATTCAAGGTACATTGCTGCTTTTTACAGCCACTTTTCATTTCTTTCATTGTAAACTGTAATGAATCCTTCAGCATCCTTCCCCCCCCTTTCTGACCATCGCCCCCTTTTCTGACCACTACCGTAAGTTATATTTCAGCCGGAGCTATCAGTTCCCTACATTTGTTTAAAAAAGTAGAGTGTCAAATATGAATTTTCTTGCCTGAATTTAGTGGCCAGCTCAGAGACCTTTGGCAAAGATTCCTTTATCTTTTCCCGTAATTCAAAACTGCATGACTTTCCTGCATGACTAGTCTCTGCTGCTCTCTGGACTGGGTTTCAGGGGCCACCAGCCCTCACGCCGCAGAGGGAGGCACTGACACACGTCCCCGCTGCCACCTCTGCAAGGAAGAGCTGAGGGATGTCATGTCTGGAGCCATATTTCATGGCTGGTTCTTTTAACCACCATGAAGGTAGAGAGCTTCAGCTCCGCGGGCTGCCCAGCTGGTGGTCCTAACCATGCCCTGCCTGCGGAGCAAGCCATGCCCTGACAGTCCAAGGTGAAGTAAATCTTTTATTGGGATGAGTCTAGAGGACAGTATTACGAAATCAGTGGCAATAAAAACTTCACAGTACCTCAGACTGTGGTGCATCTTGTGTCCATGAAACAGGTTCAGCCTTATCATTCATCTTTTTTTTTTTTTTTGCTTGTTTTTGTCTTTTTAGATTCCCTCTTTTTTTGAAAGACTTTGGAATATATTAGTTACTAGGGAAACCATTCTCATTGCGAAGGGTGGAGTTCAGAGACATTTACGAGACAAGAACAAATTATATTTATGGAGTGTTTCAAAATGTTTATTGCAATTTGTGAAACAGGGGATGTGTAGTGATTTGTTTTACGTGGAAAAAATCTAAATGTAGATCACAAAATGCCAGTCCACTGTTGTATGTGAAGGTCAGTCCAAAAAACTTTTTTTTAGTCCATGAGTTACTCCCACGCTAATACCAAACTATGTGTGTTTTATGATGGTTCTTTGGATCAGTAACTAGGAGAAGGAAACTTTGATCAAGGGTAGTAACAACCTCCACCTCTAAGACAGAAAAAGGGAAATCGATAGGAACCGTAAGCACTGTGGTTCGGGTGGTGAGCTGCAGAGTAAGGGACAGACAGGTCCCCCGGGGCTGCGTGTCCCATAGCTGAGATTCCTCCGCAACTGCCGAACTGGTTGCACCAGCAATGGACTGCGCAGGGCATGGACCCTGCCCGCTGCCATCCTGCTCTGTCTCATCTTGCCTCTCCTCTGAATTCCTTACCTCTCCACGGCACCGCTGCCAGCATCGCTTTTCAGCAATGGTACTGTACAGATGTGTGGCTGGGAGGCTCCTCAGACATTGTTCCCGCACTGAAGTACCATCAGTTCCCTTTACACCCACCAACCCCTTCCTCTGTTTTTAAAAACTTCCAGCAAAGGGGATTTGATAAACGATCCCATAACCTGTTCACCGTCCCAATCCCAGCTGTTAGCATTTTTTTCCTCATGTCTGATTTTCTTTCCTGCAGATCAACCATTTCTTCAAGTCTTCGAAGATGGGTAGCATCCAGTTACTGAGTTTCACAGGCTTCCTAGAGGACTATTACTACCAAATCTTCCTAAAAGACAATTACTACCAAACGTGTCTTCCTGCCTGAGAAGCAGAAAGTTTTTTGTTGGTTTGCCTTTAAGTCTGAACCTAAAGGTTTCCAAAACGAAACCTATTCCTGCGAGCACAGCTCCACTTGGCAGCTCCCTGCCATAACAGGGCTGTGCCTTCTTGCAGCTCCCATGCTCGTAATCCTGTGCACCCAGGACTGTCCCACAATTTGGGGGGACCCCTAGCCCCCATTCATGCAGTGTTCATCGCACCCAGTATGTTTCCGAGAGGAGCACATTTCAGGCTGAAGGAGGACAGGTTATTCCTTTTTAAAAAGGAGGAAACGAAGACTTCATGAGTTTTCTAAGGTAAAACGCAGAAAGGCTTTCCAGATTTACAAGCTGCCAGGGTCAGTTTGACCTTTCCATGTTCTTGCAGTGACTTCTGTGCTGGCAGCAACTCCCTCCACTTTCAGTACAATCAGCATGGTGGGTCAATGTAGTGCCAAATTCGTATCTGTTTGGCTCAAAAGATGAAGATACCAATCCCAGCTCTGACCTTTGCAAAAATGACTTTTTGCAACATATTTGGGATATGTGAAAAGAAACATATATATGTCATGGCTTTAAGCCTCTTTTAACCAGCTCTAAGGTGTTGTGCCCATTTGGGCAGTGATAAGAAGCAGAGGAAAGATGGCACTAGATGCATTATCCTCTGCAATTTTAAGAATATATCCTGAACACTGACGTTATTCAGGGTAGTTTCATGAAGAAACTCCAATTCATATGTGAGAATCCACCCATAGGTAACTCTGTAACCTTATTCTCTGCTGCAGAAAATGGTTTTCTGCAAGGCACAGCTGCAGTAAAATATTAGGAAAGGAGCAGAGATGCAAGGAGATGGATGTGGATGATTACACAGGCAAAACGATTTGTTCTGGATAATCGGTGTTTCAGATGGCTGTGGCTACTGCCAAAGCTTACGCAAATATCCCCACATGGCATGGGTGGTCTACACTCACTGCTTTCCCAGGGTCTTAGCTCTGAAAGCACTGGCCTCAATATTTAAGGAGTAATTCTTTGGGAGTAATCCTTGCGCTTGCTCCGAAGCAAGTATTTTTATATATAAGGGCCCTTCTGAGGCCATCAGAGAATCACAGCAACATTGCTCAGAATGATACATTAGCCAGACTGTATCTTACAGAAACACAGGTTTTGGTGGTTTGTTTTTTTTTTTTTTATTATTCAGGCAGCATTTAAAGATGAAATCTAGACATATAATCAGAAGCAGCTATCTCAATAATACGAGGCAGCAGCTGGACACCTCCATTTTTTAGTGTATTTATCCTCAGAATATCATTGTGAGAAAGGGAAATGCTTCTGTATCAGTCATACCAGTGGGGAGATGAGAAGGCAGAACAGGGATTTGACCCACATCTCTCCAGCCCTGGGCACTTACCCTGCGTTTCTTCTGGCCTTCCTCTCCCCGAGGCCTCTACCTTTGCATGTGAAAAGATTGCAGGTCAGACTGAGCACAGCCTGATGTTTTCATTTTCAACCCCTTGCACAAAGCCCCTGCCCTTTGGCAGACTGAGGCTATAAACTGTTTTATATAAACTGCAAGGTTATGGACTATTTCTAAAATATGGTCCTAAATGCATTCTCTATATTTTTAAACAAAATAAGTGTGTCAAACTGCTGGTGGTAGAAAGGACTCCAGCTGAGGAAGCTTTAGGGGATACGTTCCAAGTAATTGTATAAAGCTTTTCTTTCCTCGTGGCTTTTGGGAGGTTTACTAATCCGTCTGTCTGATACTCCTGGAAATTTTGCTCCCTTTCCCCTCGATGTCGTCATGTGGGGCTTTTTAAGTAATTATGGTCAAGCAGTTAGAATGGGACCACCTAATGTGTTTTAATTTCTTGCAAGCAAAATGTAGAAGTGGCCCCTGCGGTGGATCTCAGCAGGGATATGGCCTGTCTGTGCCAGGAACAGGCTTTATGCGGCAGGGTAGCGGCTGGTGTGGGGACCCAAGGGAGGCAGAGGAGGATGGGAAGGTGGCACAGTTTATTTAAGAAGAAAAAATGAGGTCTGCTGGTGTCAGAGTAAAAACAGATGCAATCAGTAATCAAAGCAGAGCGTGGCTAGGATATTAACATTGCACATCTGAACACCCTAAGCCGTTTGAACCTGGCTCTCTGCAAGCTATGCAGGCTGGCCCTGATTCAATACAGTGCCCCTTTCTCCCTGCGCTGCTGCAGTCCCCTGGCTCACCTCCTGGAGCAAGGAGGACTCACCGTTGATGCAGAGGAACCAGGCTAGGGAGCACTTAAACAACCCTGACATGCATATGACCATGGGCCCTGATGGGATGCAGCCATGAGTGCTGAGGGAGCTGGCAGGTGTCATTGTGAGGCCACTCTTGACAATCTTTGAAAGGTCATGGTGATTGGGAGAGTTTCCTGAAGACTGGAAGAAAGCAATGTCACTCCTGTCTTCAAGGAGAACAAGAAGGAAAATCTGGGGAACTACAGGCTGGCCAGCCCCACCTCAAAATCTGTGAAGGTGATGGAGAAAAGCCTCCTGGAAACTGTTTGCAAACACATGAAAGACTAAAAAGTGATCAGGAGCAGTCAGCATGGATTTAGGAAGGGGAAATTGTGCTTTGCCAATGTGATAGCCTTCTACAACAAGATGAGTGGCTTGGTGAATGAGGGGGGAGAGCAGTGCATGTTTTTTATCTTTACTTTAGCCAGGCTTTTAGCACTGTCTTCCATAACATCCTCACAGAGCAGCTGATGAAGTATGGGCTTGCTAAGTGGACAGGGAGGTGGACTGAAACCACAGCTATTCTGTGATTCTGGGAATGTTTAGGATCAGCCATAGCTGCTCTCATACCAGACAGTTGCAGTCTCCAGATGCTTCTGCTTGAACTAGCTGTGTACCGTGTGGCACATCCGGAAAGTCATCCAAAGGCCTGACATACTAGGAACACCCTGAGGCAGCAGGACATGGCCTTTGTGGCCCTGCAGACAGCAGCATCAGCAATCTGAACACGACAAGCATCCTTTGCTCTCCTTGTTGGATTATCTGATTTCTGTGAGTAATGCGAGATGATCTCCTGTACAGCAAGTAGTTCCTGAGGCACAGATAGTCTCTTCAGAGGACAGGGCAAGCCAGGAAGGTCTTTGGCCAGCTTTTCATTCTGAGCTCATTCCTTCTGTTTCCAGTTAGTAACTGAGGAAGCAAAACTTCCTTGGAGGGCTTGTCTCAGACAAGTGTTTTTCATTTCCCAAAACCAGTTATGTCAAGATTCAATCTTTACATCATTTGGCAAATGTATCATCAGTGACCTGGTTTAAGTCTTCTGTTACCAAGGGTTGCCCAATCTATTTGCTCGTCTAAAGACAGATAGTCATAAATAATACAGACCATAGCACGAGCATGTCCTCTTTGCTCATTGCATTCTGTGCCTGGTGGAAACTGTTAAGTAAAGCCAAAGCCATATGGCAACTGGGCATCCAGCTCCTTTTTGCTTCTAGAGGAGGTAGCAAATGCCTGTGGCAGGATCAGGTCCCTCACCCCATTGCCCCCAGCAGTGGTCCCTGCTGGGTGAGGAGTGGAGGGACAATGACATGATGCTCTCCCCATGCCTGCAGCCTCTCCCCTGGCACCTGCGGGCGGCAAGATGAGCTGGTGGCATCCCAACCTTACACTGGACTCGGGCATCCACAGCAATGAGTAACAGCTGCTGCCTGAACAGCTGTGACCAACCTAATGTCTGTGGATAGTGTAAACACTGGGTGTCGTGAAAAGCTCTTTGCTAAACATCCAGATCTCCTCTGCTCAAGTCACAGCAAAGACAGGAGGAAACCCTGATCTTCAGCCCAGCCAGCAATGGCCCTGGGCAGAGCAGGATCCCTGGAGGCAGAGTCCTCCAAGCTGACAGCAAAAGCAGCAATACATTGCAGGGGGGAAAAGGGGTGGTTCATGCTCATTGCCTCTGGACTTCCCTGATTCCCTGCAGAGAGGAACGGCATTCCCTGTTTGAGAGGCCAGGGATAGTAGGACAAGGTGGTACACATATAAATGGCATGACTGGAGACCCACTGACACCTGTGCTTGGAGGAAAGTCTGGGGGCAGGAGGAGGACAGGAGAAAAATGAACAAGTGTCCAGCCTTGGGGTGGGTGAAATATAGGATGAACAAACAGACCCTGGCCAAAGCGAGCTAAAATAAAAAGTAAGTTGGTAGTGTCTTGCCAGTTTACTCCACTGGAGTCATTGAGCCTTACTGGTCTTTGTATGCACCAAGGAGAAAACTTCAGGCCAGACCGTGATCCTGCCCCGACCTTACTGCACTTTTATGCACTAAATCACCCCACCAAGAAGGACCGAACTTCCCAGAGGCCCCACTTACCTGCCAAGAGCCACCCCTGGAGAAATGAAAACCCAAAGCTGTTCCTCTTTGTACAGATGGGTTAGGGAAAGCACCAGCCCTTTCCAGGCAGGGGGATGCTGTTGGCATCAGGGAGCTGCTTCTTGCTTTCCCTCTCCCACTCGTGCAGCCTGGGGGAGGGCCGGGGGTCCCTTTGCCACGGGGTGCGTGGTGCTCGGAGGCAGTGACCCAGAGGAAAGCCTCAGGCAGCGCAGCAGGTATGGCTGCTCCCTGCTGATGGGGGATTCGTGGCAGAGCGCGGGATCGCCCGTACAGACCGCCATCGTGCCACAGAAATTCTGGGGAGCGGTAGATCAGTGCAGTGAAACACACAAAGCTCACCTGAAGAGCATCAGCCAGCAGGCTACTGGGCTGCCAACAACCTGCTCTCCTCTCGTCCTTCGGCCAACGGGACAACCCACCACTAGGAATGGGCAGAGGGAGGTTTTTCCCTCCAGTTCAAGTGAGGTATGTTCTGGTTTTATTTTTATTTTATAGCTCATTACTTAATAATTGTTGTACAGCTAATTTAGCAGGGGGGCCTGGTGTGACTGCTGTAGAGAGTTGACAAGCTCTAACTTAACTGAAGCACTCGGACAAGGCACTCACCAAGTACTTCATTGCA